TTATCGGCACGTTTGCGCATCCTGCTTAACCTCTCTCAGCCTCGCCAATTGTGTGCATTGCGAAACACATTCATTTGCGAAGCGAGCGCAGCACGATTTGGATTCCGAGGCTGCACAGATTTCTACCCCTGTGCTCCTATAAAAAGTGAGGTTATTGTTTTCGTGTTTACATAACTGTGAAAGTTATTCGTAAAGTTCGTATTTAACGAGGCAGAAAACACTAGTCGCGAGACATTGTAGAGCTGTTTCCTAACTCCTCCTCGACACCCCTTTGCCACCGACAAATGAGCTACCCCATTCCAGCGTTGCAGAACTCATTCTCAGAGAGTTCTATTTCAGTTGTAACTTCCTGTTTTTGCAAAAAACATTTCGATAACGGTTGATGCAAAGGAATGGGAAAGAATTGTATGGTTCTAGTGCAGGTGAATCGAGGAGATGTGATCCTTTTTTTTTTCTTTTTGGATGAAAGCCGTATGCATCACCATCAGCTATGATGAGAGCTAATACTTGTTATTTATCATCTTCAATTTATTTGTTTGAGCATACACAAGCTGCCATAGAAGAGCTGCAGATGTGGTTTATAAAGGTAGTGAATGTTGAATCCGGGCGTCGTTGAATACACAAGCCGTAATAAAAAGAAAGATAATTTACCTAAATTCTGAAACTCTCATGTCTCATAGGCTACACACAAACACCACAGAGGTGAACAGCCCGTGATCTTGTTCACTCTCCTCAACGTCGTCATCTTCGCCTGTTTTCGCAAGAATGCGTGCATCTCGTGGAGACGCTAGCAATTTTCCAACACGAACAAGGTATTTCAACTTAGTCAGCCATTAAACAATGAGTGAAGAAAAGACACACTTGCGATATCAATAGCAATAAAGCACCTCGAGCTAGAAATTTGTATAGCTTCAATAGATGATACGTAAGGCTAAACTAGGCACACTCACATAAAATTCTGATTGAAAAGTATGCTCAAGTTGATTAATGGAATGAAGCGAGGCTGCACTGAGCCTGCATTCATAAACTGTATCGAGCTGAAAAAAAAAAAGAGAGAATTTGTTCATTATGCCATTGTGAAAACCCTCTATTCGATAATCCATCCAAAACTCAGGGGCCCACACTCAGATGAAGCTGCGGCGCGGTGGACGGCCGCGCTAGCTCCAACCACCAGGTTCAACTAAGGATCCAGCAATCAAATGAAGCAGCGACGACACTCCAGTCCTCATTGGGAGTGGCCTAGGCCATGGCCTCGATTTCGTCGGAGTTTTCACCACCTAACACATCGCAGGCGGCTACCATCTCGCAGTGTTTATCTTTCGCAGCCGCAGCGCCCATGGCGCCTCCTGTATTTAAAATACTTTTAATATGTATTTAAATAACAAACCTAGGCTAATTGACTCGCTAAACACTTGCTTAGTAAAATTTTTGTAGGTTTATGCATTACAAACGATTAATTTACACATTTAATTAGCTTTAGGTAATACTGTTTAAAGTGACGTCACTTTGTGCGGTGCAGAAGCCACTTTTGTGTTGGGCTGCTGCGCCGCGCGGTGCAGAATACGCTGCTATTGAAGATGTTAAAGTAGATATGCCAGCTGTAAAGCTTTTTAATTCGGCAAAACAATGAAGATAATGTTCTGGTAGAATTGAAAAAGTAAAAAGCTATGAGTTGAACAACGCTTTTTTGCAACCTTCAATTTTAGTTCACAGCGCTACCGCTACTTTGGTTTTCCGGCGCAGCGTGAGGTAGGTGTTCTTAAAGCCCCTAGATAGAGTGCCTAGAATATTTCTCCTAGTGTCGTGAACGGGCCGGCCGAGGGGAAATGGTATGCGATACAGCCGCCAGGTGGCAGTACCGCTCTCTGGCGCGCTGCTTTTTCGGCAAGCTGGGAAGGCAGCAAGCCGGAGCAGACGCTTTGCGTTGAAATTGCAGTGGTGGTTTCATGGCTTAGCACGTGATTGCCTTGTTATCCTGTGTTTTCCATGCAGACTGTAAATAAAGCGTGTGAATTTGAACAAAATGTATGCGAGCTCTCTGCCTTGTTGAGATTTTGTGTCCTCCTGCCGTGCCGCCTCTTCATAGATTGGCCGCTCGCGCGTTACCAATGCTACTTTTTAAATTGCGGTAATTAAGGGGTGGCCAACCGGGGGCTCCCAGCGGTACGACTGTTCACACAAAAAAATCACATATTTCTCTCCTCATCCGCGACCACCATTCCCTCCCGTAGGCGCACTTAGTGCCAGCGGCAGGCTCAATTTCGCAGCCGCAACAAAGAAGCAGATCGTCGGCCCTTTTCAGCGAAGCGAGTGCGTCAGTTTCGGTGCTGACATAGTGCTCTTCCACATTTATGCCGCGGCAGTAAGTACTGCAAAGGTACCCATCTGCAGCACCTACTTCCTTGCTTGACGAAAACACTACGTGTTTCAACACGCAGACGTCACCCAGCACTGTATTGTAGTGCCATGCGAAGCACAATGCTTCTGGGTTACTGGGCAAGCAAATTTTGCTGCAAAATGCCGACGGCGGCGTTATGCTGTGAAACGGGTGCGGCGCCTGTGCTGTTTCCTCGCCAGCGGCAGCATCGTCACAGGCCTGGGAAGTCGTGGGTTCATTCGGCGCTTTACGCTTAGCAGGCGGAGCTGTGCAGTCAGCAATATTCCTCTCTTTTCTTTTTCGAGGCACTGGTTTAGTCAGGTAAGCGGGGCCATCCGGGAAAATGGTAGGAACGGCGTCCGGCGTTAGCGATGGTCGTTCACGGTCGAATTCGATGTCCTCACCGTTGATGACATGCTTGAAAGTTCTTTGGATGTAGCGATCATCAAAATGACGAGAACACACTACACAAGTTTCGTCTAGAACTTTGTCACCTCTTTTGATGTTTCGCGCCCATTCTTGAAGACGAACAGGGTCTGCCGGAGCCCTGAACAGAGACACCTTCTCTTTGAAAGACTTGTACCCGCCTTTGCACAAAGCACGTTCTTCCTTTTTTTTTTTCAGGCATAGTCACACACAATCGCTGCACGAGAATTCACGGCACATATTCGAAACGTAGCGAGAACACGCTTCACCACACAGACAAGTCGCCACCCGACACAACGTTGAAAGGCCTGGCCGGCACGCAAACTGACGCGCCAGTTGCAAGTAGCGCCCCCTAACGCCGAATCCAAATCAATTTCCCAGCCGCCGATGGGGAAGGCACCTGTTCATGACACTAGGAGAATATTCTAGGCACTCTACCCTAGATGTTGGGGCTTTAGGTGTTCTGTGCTGTAGTCGTTTGATCGCGTGGTTGCCTTTGGGTAGGTCGCACGGAGCTCACCACTTCAAAGCAAGAGCGACTCGCTGCTTTATTTTCCGAATCATAGCAACCGTTTCCTGCGTGGCGAACTTTCGAGAAACAAAAGGTAGTACGCTTTTTCTTGTTTTCGCTTTCAGGTCGTGCTGTGTGGGCAAGCGCGCCGACACGTAGATAGCAGACAGCCCAGCGCGGATCCGAAACTATGGAAGAATTACGGAAAAACAGCAATTTCACGTTTTCTCCGATTGGTAAAACGTTAATTTATCCCCCGTACTTGTTATACCCCCGTTGTATTATGCGCAGTTTTGTATTTCAGCACTTATATTCGTTTTGTAACGAGCCAACAGTGTGTTTTTTTTTTTTTTTAGCAATCGCTATGAAACTAGTTTGAGATGTTTGCGCCTCACGTGAAAGCAACTGCTGCCCTTATAGTGAGTGTTGAAGATAATTGTAATAATAAAATAAGATCTGACCTTAACGTAACTCTGCTTAAGATAACGATTTAGGTCAATCAAAATTGGTCACACAGACTTTATATGGCAGGCTTTTTTGTAGTTACGTACAATGGGAAAATTGCTTGGTTGAGGAATATAAGAGAATTCCAGTACTGTAGTAACAGCCATATCTAGAGTATGATTTACTAAAATCGTGGTTTTGGAACGCTTGGGACGTAAAACCTTTGATACTAATATTGTGATTGCCATAATCCCCTCACAGCCGATACTAGAAGTTTATTGTCTTGCTTCCTTAAGCGAATAATACAGCCAAAGAGAAACGAGATATTGGCACGCAGAAGAAAAAAAAAAAAACACCTGGCAGTGATAGTGTTGTATAGGTTAAAAAAAAAAGGGCTTGGCGTCAGCAGTCTTGTGCACGCGCACCTGTGCACCGGTATTTTATAGCTTCCTATCCAAACCGTCTGCGAGGCTGATGAATGTTATCGGCACGTTTGCGCATCCTGCTTAACCTCTCTCAGCCTCGTCAATTGTGTGCATTGCGAAACACATTCATTTGCGAAGCAAGCGCAGCACGATTTGGATTCTGAGACTGCACAGATTTCTACCCTGTGCCCCTATAAAAAGTGAGGTTATTGTTTTCGTGCATACATAACTGTGAAAGTTATTCATAAAGTTCGTATTTAACGAGGGAGAAAACACTAGCCGCGAGACATTGTAGAACTGTTTCCTAACTGCTCCTCGACACCCCTTTGCCACCGACAAATGAGCTACCCCATTCCAGCGTTGCAGAACTCATTCTCAGAGAGTTCTATTTCAGTTGTAACTTCCTGTTTTTGCAAAAAAAAAAAAAACATTTCGATAACGGTTGATGCAAAGGAATGAGAAAGAATTGTATGGTTCTAGTGCAAGTGAATCGAGGTGGTGTGATCCTTTTTTTTTTTCTTTTTGGATGAAAGCCGCATGCATCACCATCAGCTATGACGAGAGCTGATACTTGTTATTTATCATCTTCAATTTATTTGTTTGAGCATACACAAGCTGCCATAGAAGAGCTTCTGCAGATGTGGTTTATAAAGGTAGTGAATGTTGAATCCGGGCGTCGTTGAATACACAAGCCGTAATAAAAAGAAAGATAATTTACCTAAACTCTGAAACTCTCATGTCTCATAGGCTACACACAAACACCACAGAGGTGAACAGCGCGTGATCTTGTTCACTGTCCTCAACGTCGTCATCTTCGCCTGTTTTCGCAAGAATGCGCGCATCTCGTGGAGACGCTAGCAATTTTCCAACACGAACAAGGTATTTCAACTTAGTCAGCCATTAAACAATGAGTGAAGAAAAGACACACTTGCGATATCAATAGCAATAAAGCACCTCGAGCTAGAAATTTGTATAGCTTCAATAAATGATACGCAAGGCTAAACCAGGCACATTCACATAAAATTCTGATTGAAAAGTATGCTCAAGTTGATTAATGGAATGAAGCGAGGCTGCACTGAGCCTGCATTTATAAACTGTATCGAGCTGAAAAAAAAAAGAGAATTTGTGCACTATTCCATTGTGAAAACCCTCTATTCGATAATCCATCCAAAACTCAGGGGCTCACAAGGGCCAATCAGATGTATATAAAGAGCAAGCCTTCTGTATTTGAGCCTGCTTTTCAAGCTTTGTATTTCTTATTTTGTGCTGTTGTTAAGTTTTGGCATTTGCAAGTGGCCTCTTGCACCTTTGTTTCGTACAGAAAACATAGCTCGGCAAACTCAGTCACGAGTCTGCTCACTCAGACTCGGATTGATCTACGAGTTTTGGTTAGTCCGGGTGAGTAATATTCTGGGGAATTTGAGTCTGTGCGAGTTCAGCTGATGAAAATTTCTTGAGAGTGAAAGTCCCAGTGAGTTTATCTTGGGAAAATTCCAACGAGTTTGTGCCCGTGCGAGTCCGAAGTGCAGTCGAGTCTGAGTGAGTTCCACTTGTTTTTGCCAACTTGTGTACATAAGTATGGTTGCAGAATGGTACTTCTGTATATGATATTCAGGCTGGGTACATCATATTCAGAATGTTGCTGCAACATACTGACTTTTTTAAACAGAGTCTCCTCAATCTTCTCAACATACAGTCGACTCTCATTAATTCAAATTCAAAAAGACCTCTGAATTTTGTTTGAATTATTAAGAAGTTTGAATCACTAGAAGGTCTCAGACACCAAACATTATGATCAGGCACTGATTTCATCACATTCCAAATGGTTTTAAGCATTTTAAACTCTAACTTCACACAATGAACAGAAGACAGAGGTGTAAGGTCCACAAGTTTCTTGGCCATTTAATGATGATCAGACCTTTTAAAGAAATCATGAATTGCCAACTGCTTCCTTGCTACATGTACCTTCAGCACAAAGCTCTCTATACCAATTGAGAAGCATCACAGTTCACCGTGCGTATGCTTTATTTCAAACATTTGTTAACTAGCAAAGCCATTCTCCTTAGAGGCCTGAGGTGCCTATTTTTCATAATTAGACTGTTAGGAATATAAATACACAATTTTTAAGTGGTAGTGGGAAAGCAGCAGGAATTTTCTCGTATGGGAGTGCAAGAATTATGAATTAACTGAATGATGGAGTTTGAATTAAAAGGCTTTTAATAAAAATACATTCAATGAATAGAGGGCCAACCAAATAATTGAATTTTGTTTGTACTAACCAAAAGCATGAATTATCAGTTTCAATTATCACGAGTCTACTGTAATCAATATACCAAGTCTCCTCAACATACTGAGGCTCGTATCAGTGGTGGATCAAGAGGGTGGGCAGTAGAGGCGACTGCCCTCCCCCCCCCCCCAAAGCCTGTTGGCACCCCTCCTCCTTTCTTTAGTGGTTGCCATCCACCTGCTGTCACCGATCAGGACCACTTTGACCACACCCACACATTAACAGTGTTTATGCAGTGACAAAGTTTTTGTGCTATAAAAACAAAACAAAAAAAGTAATAACCACACACTCCTCTCCGGTGTTACTTCAAGCGACCTTCCCCTCCCTAAGATGAGTGGCTGGATGCGCCCCTGGCTCAAATTCACAAACGCTCCTGGACTCGAAACTTGACCTCCAGATATCCTTGAGGACCATTTCGCGTTTTGATTTCTGAAGTGCGAAAAGTCTCTAGGATCTCTTGGAGGTCGGAGTTTCAAGTCGACAAGCGTTTGTAAATATGGGCCAGAGTCTCCTCAATAAAATACCGAGTCTACTCAGCAAACTGGAAACATCCAAAAATAACTTTAAGGAAATTTTCCTTCATAATTGCATTCAATGTATTTAGTACAGATATTTGGATTATTTAACACTTCACGTGTCCCACTTGTTTAGAATAGTTTTATTGTTTGTCTGTTTTTGTTTCTTCAAGCTGCTTAGGAATGTATATGCTTGCAGATGCGTTCTTTACTTGAACTAATGTTTATACACTCTAACCTTAATATAACGAACCCAGTTATAACAAAATATCAGTACATCATTCGGGAGCGCACAAAAGGAAACAGAAAAATATGGATAAGTTCCGACTCGCCCGCCTTTGAGTTCTACTTCACGAAATGTCGGTTATAACAAAGTAACTGAAGAGTACTCTTGCAATCGATACAGAGTAAAAAATATGCCCTTCGAATTTTCCACCATAATCAACTTATTTTCGTAAAGGTGCAACTTTGCTATAATGAGGTTTAAATGTATGGCAGTAATGTTTTTTTTAAATAACTTATTACTATTCACTTTTTTATATTTGTTATGTTTATACATCTTATCAGAATGTGCCAGTTGCGATTCTTTGTATAAAACATTCTCTAAATGAGTCGAAGTTGTGCATGACCTGTTTTTTTTTACCAAACCGTATTTCAAAGCAAAAGCCTCCGTTAGGCTATGCAGGCATAAAGTGGCAACGGAAAGCACAAGACAGGGTTGATTGGTGGGTCATGGGGGAGGACTTTGCCTTATCAGAATGTGCCAGTTGCGATTCTTTGTATAAAACATTCTCTAAATGAGTTGAAGTTGTGCATGACCTGTTTTTTTTGTACCAAACCGTATTTCAAAGCAAAAGCCTCCGTTAGGCTATGCAGGCATAAAGTGGCAACGGAAAGCACAAGACAGGGTTGATTGGTGGGTCATGGGAGAGGACTTTGTCCTGAAGTGGGCCTAGTCAGGCTGATGATGCTGATGATGTATTTCGGAGCAGAACCCTCCGTCAGGCTATGCATGTAGCCCTTTGCTTCGTTTTCCTGTTATATGTTCAGAAAATGAATCGAATCTCAATGCATGGTTTGTTTGTTCTACATTTTAGAGATGAAAAAGAAGTACCGAAAGACTATTCATAAGCAAGGAAACACACATGACAGTACTTGTGGTGCTTCTTCACATGTTAATTGCCTCTTTTTTGGCTCTGCCTTCCTATTATGGAGAATGCTGCACAGCTGTGCAGATTTTACACACCGGCCACATAAGAAGCATTTGTGCTTGCTTTAAGTACCTAACAGACAAGTGGCACCTGTACACAAATGTGAAAGTAGCTTATGCACAGGTGGTGCTTGGCTATTGCAAATTTGTACTTTGAGAGTTCGTACCGATAGACTGCTCATTGCTTAACCTTTTTACAAGTCATAGCCGGGGTCGTTCACATCCACTAGCAGTGTATTTGGGTGATTATTACTGTAGCACACACCATTAATTGAGAATGTTTTGTGTGTTTTCCAGACACTCAAATCAACATCGCTTGCTTATTTATTGAGCTTGCATCACATTGTCTGTTCTTTTCTCTTGTAGGGCAATGGCTGGTCCAACTCTTCTTGCTGTAGGAGCAGCAGTAGGTAGGTGCTTGCTCTCTGTCACCCATTTACTTAATCACAAAAGTTTGTTCATAGTAGACATACAGGCCCAATTGATATGACAAGTGGGTAAATACTACTGTAACATGACAGCTGGAGGAAATAAGTAGTCAGAAACACTAAACTCCTATGCGAGCTTACGTACCAGATCACAACAGCACTGCGGTCGCCTGTGGAGGTGCTAATAATGCTGAGTGAGTCGTAAGAATTTGAGTGTGTTAACAACAAATCTTGCTATTGCAGGATCACGTGCCAATTACGCAATGCAGGTGTTAAGGAAAAATTGTGCTCACTGTAAAAGCAATGACTGCGCTTGTGCAGTAGTTACTGACAGTATTACAAACAATTTTGTTTTCAGAAGCAATCAAAAGAGAGATGTCCATATCTACAATAGGACATTGACTGGCATTTAACTGGCATTGAATGACTGGCATTGAACAGTGCCAGTCATTTATTTCTTTGTGGTCCCTCATGCTCATGCTGCAGTTTGCTACTGTTCCAATCTTTATGCATTTCTACCGCACTCCGCCTTTTTCACAGTGCCACTGCATGCGCTTTTCCTCTTGCGGAAATGTCGTGCAACGCCGCTTCATCTCAGAGGCCATAGTTCTGGCAATACTGGTTGTCCCGCTTCCGCCAAAGCTTTATAGAGACACAGGGCACTACAGGAAAATGAAAAAGGCGGATTTCTAGGTTGAAATTGTTAAAGCGACCCTAAAATGGTCTTTTGAAGTTTTTCTCAGCGTTTAGACTAGAGCATCATCAAACCATTCCCACCACAAATTTAGTGACATGCCATGCACCAAGGCCACTTCGGACAATTGTATCATACCCTCCTTCTCAACTCTGCCTGGGCTCCTTAATTCTGGCATCACTGGTGATCACAGAGCTTTGAGCGCCGCTCGAGAATTTGAGCTTTTACCATTTTAGACTTCTGAAATGGCATGCTGACAGGTTGCACGCGGTCTCGAAGGCTATCACATAGTCGCCCGGCAGCACGCACACCGTCTAGCAACACAGATGAAGATCGCGAAATGGTTGATATCTGCTCCGACAGGTGCCGCCACCCTACCAGCCAATCTTACTGCCGCACATTCTACAGCCCGTGAGAGCCAGTCAGATCAGACGCCACGGTGACGTGGCTTCTGACGTGCTCGGGCCCAGAGCATGTTGCTCTGTGAATGGCCATTTGAAAACCCGTGTGGTCGAGTCGCAACGATCTGCACCGATCTGCGATTCGCAGCTTGAAAGCCTAGTAATAAATTACACAGTTTACGCAGAGAGCTCAAATCAGTCTCTAAATAACCGTTGAGACTTGGTTTACCGGCCCAATGTATTCGTAGAAAATCGCCAAAATCGTTTAAGGGTCTCTTCAACACTAGGCATCGTATTGCATGTTGCTTCCATGTTCAAGAATCATGGTAATTGTGGGATATTGCATGTAATGCATGTGTTCATATAAAATGTGCAAGAAAATGTGAACGATTATTTAGTGACTTCTAGCAGGTGTCACACCGCTTTATTATTATTCTTCATATTTTCTAGCTCATATCACACTCCCTCTGTACAATAATTGTAGTGCTTCCATGTCCCAAAACCATGATATAATGAGAGATGCTCTAGAGGAAAGCTCCGAAAATTTCGACAACTTGGGGGTTTCTAAACGTGCACCTGAATCTAAGCACATGGTCCACTAGCAATTTGCTACCCCCCAAATGGCCGCCATGACCGTGATTCAATTCGTGACCTTTGGGTTTGCAGACAAACACCATAACCACTAGATCACCATAAAGGGTGCTATGTAGGAATGGCTTTATTGGCATGTCAGACTAATCACAGCTTGAATAATTTTTCTCTTAAAGGTATCCCTTCAAGGGCTGCACAAGAGTTTGGCTATGCACTTAGAGTATGCATTAGGAAGAGGCACAAAGAGGCTGCTACAGTGAAACCAGTCAGGAAGAACTTCTTGTTCACCATTGTTTTTTACTCATGCAGCAGGAGCAGCCGGCGCACTGATGGCTGTACCTGCAGTACTTGCAGCCGCTGGATTCGGAGCTGCCGGTGTGGCTGCCGGATCATATGCTGCAGCTACCCAGGCAACCATGGGGGGCTTCGTGGCCAAAGGCAGCCTATTTGCACTTTGCCAAAGCTGGGGAGCAGCTGGACTTCCCCTCGCTGCAAAGGGTGTTGCTGCTGCAGCCGGCGCATGGCTTGGTTTCAAGGTGGTTTAATGAACCACATAATGCACTGGCAGTCTAAGCCCAATAAAAGCATAAGAAATCACAGCATATTTATGGAGTGAATGATGATGAGTGGGGCAAAGCGTTCGTCAGCCCGTTCGTGCTTCCGTTCGTCTTTGCTTCCGTCCGTCCGTGCGACCATCAGTGCATCCTTCCACGAGTCCGTCCGTCCAACCATCTGCTAGTCTGTCTGTTCGTCCGTCCGTGCGTCCATCTAGTGAACACTCTAAGTGCCCTCATCTCCCATCCCCTGTGGCACATATCTGCTCTAGAGCGGGTATGTGCCACTAGTGGCTAGGTACTAGTACATACATACATACATACATACATACATACATACATACATACATACATACATACATACAAGAGATGGACGGACCCACGCTTAAGGAGCTTCGCCCCTAAAAAATTCAGTGCTTAATTTTTCTGTTTTTAAGTAAAGCTGCAGCTTGGTGGCTCATCAGAAACAACGCATCCAACCGCCAGCTTTCCTTCGGCAGAGTGAGGCGAGATCACGTGATCCAACCCTGCACGTCACCACGACTGCAGCGCCCGCTCCTGCAGTGGTGGGCTTTGCGCCCAATACCAAGGCGCAAGCAGCAGACACGCTGTCCCTGTTTGGCCAATGACGAGGCATGTTGGATCAACATGGCGGACGCGGCCAATTAGAGACCTTGAGATGACTTTCGGACATTTGATTTTCGCGCGCTTGTTTTTAGAGAGAAGCCAGCTGAGGCGCAGAATTTTAACACAGAGAAACGCCTTTTCAACGAGCCCAAAGCAACTGTGCTCGATTGCGCAGCTACTACTTTTTGAAAATAAGTTTTTTTTCGGGATTTCCGCGATAATTCTCGCCACTTTGGCCAGTGCGGCAAGTCTTTAGAAGCACTTTAGGCGGTTTTTAGTGGAGATAGTTCGAAATCTGATTGAAGGAGGGCTGCATAAACTGAAAATGTGATTTTCATGAACTCGATTTTTTTTGGCTATTTTTAGCGCTACGAAAGCCGCGTCCCCTCTTAAAGGACACTTCTGGCACTTTCTGGAAAAGGGGACTTGCGGAAGCGGGAAACTGGTTCAGGCTGAAGTTGATTCGATGGCACAAATTCTCGGACAGTAATGAACAACCTAGGACATGGTTCTTCCGACTTTTTTTTATCTCTGTCTGAGCATTTGCGCAATCAATTTAACTTCAACCACTATACCAAATAGCCCGACAGAAAACGCTACTAAACTGTACCAGAGATGGAAAACACGATGTGGAGTGCCAGGAAACGAAACTTGTGATACCATCACTATCGCTTTTACTGTTAACCTATTATCATGAATTTAATCACATCACGTGAGCAGTTTAACCACACTCGCGTGAAGTCCTGTGTGGGTGGTGAAATAAGACCATTACCGATATAAGGATGAATCTTAATAATTGAGATTTTAAATTTTGAAATCATGGTATGCTTAGTAACCAAGTCGTAGCCTGACGAGCGAAACGTACAGGTTATGGCAAAATACCCCGAGTAAGCAGCTTCCAAAGTACTAGTTTAGTAAGCCATTTGAATGGAATCGCTCGATTCAGCATAACTACGACACCTGCCGCATGGCACGTGCTGTTCTCATTTTTAGCAGCAATATGTAACAGCCCAAGTAGATATTTTCACAACATAACAGCAAGGAAGGGAATCAAACGATATGCTAACATGTGTGACATTATAAAAATTAAATCGTACTGTGACAGGATTTGTTCAGTGCAGCACTGTGTTGGAATTTGGTGCATGGTAATGCGGCTTGCAAGAAAAGAACGAAGGCAAATTCTGCTTTTGTACAACTATTTATTCAATAAACTGAATGAAACAATCAAATGAGAAGACTGGTTCTTCCAGCGGGCCGAGGAGGCACTCAAAAATTGCTTGAAGCAACTTATGGTACACATTATATCAATTCTGTACTTACAAAAAATAGGACATTTTTTTTCTTCTAGATTATTTACAGGGCGATGTTAACCACTGTATGGTGAAGGAAATGGGGCAGGAGGCAATCAGAGACTGTTGTTGTAGTATCGAGGGTCGTGCGGTGAAGGTGGCGTGCTGTAGCTATTTCTGCTAGTCGTACCGGACGACTCGGCAGCGCTGGATTCGTTCTCATTCATCTGGCGCAGCTTCGTCCAGATGTCCAGGGTTGACGACGTTGGCGTCGATGGACCGCTGCTTGACACAAACGAGGGTGGCCCACTCCATATCATACCTGGAAACGCCCCAGGATCTTCTGAAACTTGCTTTCATATTGCAGCATGAACACTTCTGAATTCAAACTTCACCAGCAATTACGGCCTGTTGGAGCATAAAAGCTGGTAACAAAATAGAAAAGTGGAGTGACATGAATGTGTAATTCTCCTGCACTATTACTGCTAGCAAAAAGCCCGTGATCATATTGTATGTATCCCTATTTGAATACACTGTACACTTCTTATACTCGTGAGGCAATGCTGTGAAATCTGAAGTATCTGCGGTTGTGACAGAAATATCTCTGAGTGCATTTCCCTGTGCTGCCATTATTTACCTGTGACACTAAGGACTACACCACAAATCATCAACAGTCTGTAAATATGTAAGGTTACAACTTCATCTCTGCATGTCCATTATGTGAAGTATGTATGGTAAGGTTTCATTCATAAGTGTGCTGTAGTCACTGCTAAAGAAAAAAATGCGCTCTCCAATCCACATAAGGCAGATTACGATTGAAAATTGGGTGTCATGGCTACTTTAAAGAGAGCAAGAGGTGTGCTTACTGCTTGAAGGTGATGCAACAGGGAGGGCCGAGAACTGGCTGTTGCTATACGTGGATCCGGGACCTTTGGGAACAGAGCTCAGGAGCATCCTGTACGTTGCACTAGTCACCTTGCCCAGAAACTGGTCCAACTGATGCAGAGACAGCGCGTTGTGCAGTGTTTCCAAGGGCCGGATCGATGGTACGCTAACTATGCCATCTGCAATGCGCATGTAACCGCACCACGTTACCACTCGCGCTTGTTTAAGTGCTTACTTCTAAAAAGTGAAGAAGAGCTATGCATGTCAGAATGCCCCGGCTCATGCTTCTGAAACAAGCTTTTGTTACCAAACTCCTTGCTTTTTCTTTTTTTTTTTTGTATACCACAATGCAGTTAGTCACGTCTATTAAATTTCTGTGCTGCGATGATTGAACGGCCTTGAACATGAAAATGAACTCCTACAGAATGTTAGATTTGCTTGGCTGCATGTTTTTCCATCATTTATGCAGCTGCAGCTTGTCTCCACTCAAGCTGTTTTACTCAAGCTACTCTACACAAGAAATGCAGGGTCTTGCTAATAAATAAAATATACGTACATCTGTACTCGTAACATAGTGTAACAAATTTGGTTCAACACTGCTTCTAAATTTTATACATAAGCAATCTTTACTGATGTCTCTGGTGTTGCCCACTTGAACAATTTAACATTGAACAGAAGCAAGGGCCAGCGACATCTTCGACTACTAGGCAATTTCCTGACACATGCAAACTGTAAAGATGCGATTTGGGGGATAAGTTTGTAAAATGATAAATACTACACTCGTAGGAGCACGCACGACAAATCAGAAGCATGTTAGCTCATTGCTGCTGCTCAGAGCAGTAAGCAAATGTTCGCACAGCATTTTCAACAAGACAGAGTACGTGTGTGAAAGCATAATATGATTAATTAAAAAGCAGAACTTTTCAAGAATGGTTTGACTAGATATCGACAGTTCCACAGCCTTTTTGACATTCCATAAATGTATACAGTAATGCGAGTACTCAATCCAATCATACCCAATACAATTCTTCAGTTTATTCTAGCCTTTTTAGGTGAAGTATTACAATCCACTTACCTGTTCTACCCTTTGTAGGGATGCACATTATAACCTTTCTACTCATGCATGAGATGTTATTTTTGTAAAACCAACTGTAAGGATTACTGCATGCTGTTGGCTTGTATGCAGATTGCTTATCTGAAGGAGGCCACACAGCCTCCACAGAGGGTGTTCCGAGATGTTACAACTGATAAATAGGTTGCAAGGTAAAACACTATGCAGTGCCTAGCTACTGATATTGGCAGTAAGCTGCAACAGCTATCAGCTTTCCTAAAACCTGGGACCTCCTGCAGCAATACTTTTTCACCTTAATAATGCTTATCAAATAAAATTACTGTATTTACTCAATTCTACTGTGCCCTCGATTGTAACGCGCGCCCGGTTTCCACGACGAAAAAAAACAAACAACAACTAAGACATCGATTGCAACGCGCACCCATTTTTCTCGTTGGCCCGCGCGATCACACCACTCGGGAAAACGAAAACGACTCCTTTCGGGAACGTCTTCCGTTTAAATATGAGGTACGGGGGAAGCTTGTGCCTATCTGACGTGCAACGGAGCATTGCTGTCGCTCTAGTTTTACCGTGGCCCAATGTCAGCACGCGAACTTGCTTCGCCCCCTTCTCCTCGACGCTTTTGGTGCCAGGCCTGTCGAATTAAAGAGGCGTCTGATCAGCATTCCCGATTTGCCCAAGCAGGTAGCCGTTGTTGTGCTGCAAGTTTAGGACGAACCTCTGAAGACCGTCAAGCTTTTCTTCGTACTCCTCCGGTAACTTTCGGCATATGCCCGCTCGCCTTCAGAGGAAAACGCCTTTCCTCTTCATAAAGTTAGTTAGCCAGCACCTGCTCGCTTTAAACTGGCTCCGCATTAGCCCTTTTTCTAAGGCTAACTGCATAGCCTGCACTTGGAGCAGTTCTGTCGTCACAGGCCGCTGTGCCGCTCATTGCTTAATCACAGCTCTTCAATTTGTGCAGTTCTTCAATTTGTGGAAACCGACCCTGCTGTGGTCCACTGAAGCCTTTGCCTGAATCTTTGCTGTCGACAATATTCTGCTTTTGTTTTCGCCAGTCCCGCACGCACGTTTCGGGAACTCCGAACGACCGCGATGCGGCCCGATTTCTGTCCGTTTCGGCACACGCTATGACTGTTCTTTTAAAAGCGGCATTGTGCTGCACTTGTCGAGTTTTTGG